AGGTGGTGGAGAACTCTCCGCGCCGCTCCACGCGGACGTAGGGAGCGAAGGGCGGGGCGCGGCTGTCCGCCCGCAGCCGCTTGCAGGAGATGTACTTGAGCCGGATCTCGGGCTCGGCGGGGTGCAGGAGCGGGGCCTGCTGGGGCTGCTGCCGCCGCCGCTTCCCGCGGCTCTTGCACCGCGCCGGCACCGCCTTGGCCTTGCCGTGGCCCAGACGCTTCCGCTGCCGCTTGGAGTAGCCGTTGTAGTTGGAGTGGTTGGCCCGCGGCTTCGGCCCCCGCGCCGGCCCGGCGGCGGAGCGTCCCTCAGGAGGGCCATCACTGCTCCCCGCCTCCTTCTCCTCAGTCTTTGGTTTCTTCTCCCGAGGCGCCTCCTCCGCACCTCCCGGGCCGGCTACGCGCTCCCGGGGCAGTGCTGGTGGCAGAGCAGGGCTCAGGGGCACCTTGGCCATGCCCAGCGCTGCTGCTTTGCCCTTGCGGTTCCTCTTCTTGGGCAGGAGCCCCAGGTTCTTGGCCACCATGTTGGGGCTGGACTGGGTCCCCCCCGGCGTTGACCCACAAGCCTCTCCCTGGCAGCCGTCATGGGGCAGCTTCTTCCCACCACCCGGCTTCCCCTTTGGTGCTCGGCCGTTGGGGTTCCGGCAGAGCGGCTCAGCCACCGGCATTGTGGGCACCTTCTGTGCCGCCGCCAGCTTGGGCAGCCGCGCATCGCCCACTGCCACAGCCACCCCACTGTGCTTCACCACCCGCTCTGCCCCAGCCGGGCTCAGGGAGGAGCCGTAGGCAGCTACCGTGGCTGCCACTGCTGTGGCCGCTGGTTTGCAGGTGAACTTCTTCAGGTTGGGTGAGGTGATCTTCTGGACGATGGCCTCCAGCTTGAGGCCGCGGCCCTTGCGGGGAGGCAGCACTTTGGTCTTGGTGGCCTCCTGGAAGGCCGCCCGGGAGGTGATCTTGATGCAGACATCAGGAGCCTCCTTTGGCAGGGGGGGCTTCGGGATGGCTTCGCCAGAGCTCTTGGGGGGCAGCTTGGCTTTCACCTTCTTGGCCACCGGCATCTTCTTGAAGAGGCTGGGGGGACCCTCTGGCTTCTCCTCCTTCACACCACCGCTGTTGCTCCGCAGGACCAGGTTCCTCTTCTTGGTGGGGATGGGGGAGATGAAGGTGGACTTCCTCTTCAGTGAGTGCAGCGGCCGCTCCGACATCTTGCCCCCCACGCCCGGCCCTGCTTTGGGCAGCTTCATCCGGGCACCCACCTTGCCCTCCTTGTGGGGGCTGCCTGGCGCTGGCAGCTTGAAGGCAGGTGGGAGATGGTTGTTGGATATGAGCTTTTTGGGTGCTTTGCAGTTCTTCAGCCGGACATCAGCTGCCCGCTTGCCCCTCTGCCGCTTGGTGTAGAAAACCTCCTGTGTCTTTGTCCGGGAGCGCAGGATCATCGACCTCTGGTCCCTCTCCCCGGCTTCCACTGCATCCCCCTCCAGCGGTGTCGGCCCTGCCACCTCCTCTGCCGCCACCAAGCCGGGCACCAGGAGGGTGGCATCACTGGTGTTTTGGACCACCCTGGGAGCGGGCCGGCTGTTGCGCTTCCTGGTTTTGAAAGCCACCCGCTGCTTCACGCCACAGCCGGGCTTCTTCCCCAGCTTCTCCTGGTGCGCGGGGGCCTTCAGTCCCTCCAGGGGGGCAGGGGCGCGGGGCTCGGCCAGGGCGGTGAAGGAGCGGGTGCACATGCGCGCCGGCAGACCCTCGGCTGGAAACCGGGGTGTTTGGCTCTGGGCACTCTTGCTCGGTACCTCCGTCTGTCCGTCTGGCCCCAGGCAGGCACCGGCCACGCTGCTGGCTGCTGGCAGCTCATCGAATGGGCTCAGCACGGTGCTGCCGGGGCCATCCCCCTCCGGCAGCCGGCAGTGGACCCTCTTGTTGCGGAGGCTCTTGCCCCGTGAGACAGGCTCCATCTTCCCCAGCACATTTTCGGGTGTGATTTGCTGCTTCACCATTACCGCTGAGGTGGATTCAGCATCAGCTGCCTCCAGGTGGGACGTCTCCCCTCTGCCATTTTCCTCCTCAGGCTGGATGTGGGGCAGAGAGGATTTGAACCAGCTCTTCACCTTGGTCTCTGTGCCCACAGCAGGGCCCAGAAGGATGACAGACTGGCCAGAGAGGCGTGGGGTGGAAGCTGAGCTCTCCTTCTCCACTGTGCTGACAGTCTCCTCAGCAGACACAGGCACCTCGCTGGAGGACAGCACAGCTGGCATCTCCGGAGGCTTGGGTGGTGAGGCATCGTACGTCACTGACTTCTGCTCCGAGCCAGCCAGCTCACAGAGTGAGGAGTACTCCTCTGCCTCCAGGTCTGACTCCTTCAGATCTGGCGAGGAGATGATGGGGATCTCACTGAAGTCCCCAGCTGAGCAGCAGTGCCGGGTATCCTGCAGCCATCTCTCACTGTCTGCCTTTGTTGCTTCATCGTAGGTCAGTGTCTCCTCCTCCTCCTCCATCACCTGCTGGCCAAAGTCCTGGACCGGCTCACTCTTTGCTGGCTGCTCTCCATCGCACAGGTCCAAGCCGCAGGCGTTTTTTTTCTCCTTGCAGGAGCTCACCAATTTGCTGGGGAACAAGCCCTTGGGGAGGTCGGTGGCCTGAAGATCTTTCCACCGCAGGCAGGCCTCACCCAGGCTCTCCTCCGGCCAGTCAAAATGCTCCATGGCATTTTCGGACGCCACCGAGTTGGCGGTGGTGTTTGAGTAGCAGCTGTAGCCGGTGGCACCCGCGCTTGACGTCGCTGCCGGCATGCTGGGCTTGGAGTTGAAGGCCAGTGGGGCAGTGTCCTTCAGCACATCCTTGCTTTCAGTGGCTGCAAACTCCACCTGGGAACCCTCGTACACCTCCTCGCTAAAGTCCTTCCCCGTGCTGGCCCCTGAAGCTTTGTCCAGCTTGAGGGGCTCAGTGAGCGTGCTGGAGTCACCCTGGCTGGGCCAGGCACCTTTCACCATGGAGTCCAGGCTGGGACGGTGGTTCTCCAGCTGGAAAGGGGACTTGGTGGTCTCCTTGCCCAGCATGGGCAAGTTGGCCCAGGCTTTGTCTGCCTTCTCGCTGATGGCATCCTGCAGGACGATGATCTCAGAAGCCAGCTCCTCCTGGGACAGGGCACTGAGGAGCAGTCGGGGGCAGTCCCGTTCATTGCTCACATACTTGGTGAAGGTCTCCAGCGGCAGGGTGGCGTGGATACTCTGGAAGGAGTCATCTGATTTGGTGGACATGTCATCTGGAGAGGTCACAGAGCAGGTGGACACTGACTCAGGCTTTGCCTTGGAGTTGCTGTTCACGCGGGCAGGGCTGCGGTTCTGGTTGCAGTACAGGAAACTCCTCTCCAGCTGATCCTCTGACCCACTGAGATAGTCGGTGTCCTGTGTCTCAGCGTGGACAGACTGGGGGGTGCTCAGTGGGTCAGACAGGGGGGTCCCCACCTGCTCTGCCGAGTAGGTGCTGCTCTCAGGACTGCAGTGCTGCCCCTTGAGCTGCTCGGGGGTCCTTGCTGGGGTCTTGATGCCCTTTTTCTGGGGTACAGCTGCTTTGGAGAGCAGCAGCTGCTGGACAGTGTTGGAGATGTTCTCCACCTGGGAGGTGAGTGCCGTCAGGCTCTGCAGGCTCAGGTCTGACAGCAGGTTTTCGGGCAGCTTCTCCTTCTGCAAGTTTTTGCAGTTCCCAGATTGAGCATCAGGGCTCGTCCCATCAGTGGGAGAAGGGTTCAGCAGCGGCATGAAATGGCTGTGGTCAGCAATGCCGGCCGGGAAGGCACCAGCATTCAGTGGCTGCTGGCTGTATTGGAAGTTCTCCAGGTTGGGCATCAGAGGGGAGGGAGTGGAGCTGTAGGATGGGGACCTGCCGACAGAGCGAGCCGGCGAGTGGCTGGCGCTGGGGCTGAAGGTCTGGTAGTACTGCTCGGGCGTCCGGACGGGCGGCGCATCGCCCTGGCAGTAGGTCTGGCCTGGCTGGTTGTAATGTTGGTACTTGGCCAGGTTTTGGTAGTGGAGGGTCTCTGAGGCGTGATGCCGCCCCTGCATGGGCTGCGGGGGCTGCGGGGGCTGCGGTGGCTGCGGGGGCTGCGGTGGTGGCGGCTGCGGGGGCTGCGGCGGCGGCTGCGGGGGCTGCTCGTAGCCGATGCGGTTGGGCTGGTAGCC